AGCGAATCTATGTGCATCTATAGGCATCTTCGCGCATCTACGCGCATTTACGCAAATTTAGGCATCTACGCGCATTTACGCACATCTACGTGCAATCACGCGCATCTATTCGCATCTAAGCGCATCTATGTGCATCTAAGCGCATCTTCGCGCATCTTAGTTCATCTACGTGCATCTACGTGCATCTACCCGCATCTACGCGCATCTACATTCATATACCCTTATCTTTGCGCAACTACGCGCAATTTGCGAATCTACGTGCATCTACGCGCATCTCTGTGCATCTACGCGCATATACGTGTAAGCACATCTACGCAAATGAAGCGCCTCTGCGCGAATCTCCGTGCATCTACTCACATCTAAGCGCATATACGAAAATCTACACGCATCTATGCGCATCTACGTGCATCTGCACGCATTTACGTGCAACTACGCGCATCTATGCGCATCTACGCACATCTACGCACATCAACGTTCATCTACATGCATTTACGCGCCTCTACACGCATCTCCGTGCATCTACTCGCATCTACGCGCATTTACATGCATCGTCGCGCATCAACGCGCATTTACGTACCTCTACGCGCATCTCCATGCATCTACGCGCATCTACGCGCATCTTCATTCATATACCCCATCTTTGCGCATCTACGCGCATCTACTCGAATCTACGCGCATCTACGTAAATCTACATGCACCAATGCGCATCTACGCGCATCTGCACGCATTTACGCGCATCAACGCGCATCTACGTGCATCTACGCGCATCTACGTTCATCTGCATACATCTACGTACATCTACGCGCATCTAAGCGTATCTATTCGCATCTACATGCATCTTCGCGCATCAACATGCATTTACGCGCCTCTACGCGCATCTCCACGCATCTACTCGCATCTACGCGTATCTACGCGCATCTACGCACATCTACGCCCATCTACGCCATCTACGCGAATCTTAGTATATCTATGTGCATCTACGCGCATTTTCGTTAATCTACGTGCATATACGCGCACCTACGCGAATTTAGGCGCATCTGCCCATATCTACTTGCATCTACGCGCAACTACTTATTAATAATCTTTGCGTATCTACGCGCAACTTTCGCATCTACGCGCCTCTATGCGCATCTCCGTGCATCTACGCGCATCTACATTCATATACCCAATCTTTGCGCATCTCCGTGCATTTTCGCGTATCTACACGCATCTACGCCCATCTACATGCATCTACGCAAATCTACGCGCATTTACGTTCATCTACGCGTATCTACGTACATCTATGAGTATCTAAGCGCATCTACGCGCATCTCCATGCATCTACGCGTATCTACGCGCATCTACTCGCATTTTCGGTCATGTAAGCGCATCTATGAACATCTACGCTCATCTTCGCGCATCTACGCACATCTAAGCGAATTTATGCGCCTCTACGCGCATTTACGTGCATCCACTCGCATCTACGTGCATATACGCGCATCTACGCACATCTACGCGCATCTACATTAATATACCCCATCTTTCCGCATCTACACGCAACTTGCGCATCTACGCGCATCTACGCGCATCTACTCGCATCTACATGCATCTTCGCGCATCAACATGCATTCACGCGCCTCTACGCGCATCTCCGTGCATTTACTCGCATCTACATGAATCTGCTCGCAAATCAGTTCATCTACGCGCATCTACGCGCTTCTACGCGCATCTCAGCGCATTTATGTGCATCTAGGTTCATCTACGCGCATCTACGCACATGTTACTTCATCTACGCGCATCTACGCGATTCTATGCGCATCTAAGCACATCTTTGTGCATCTAGGTGCATCTACGCGGATCTCCGTGCATCTACTTGCATCTACGTGCATCTACGTAAATCTACACGCATCTACGCGAATCTACGCGCATCTACGTTCGTCTACGCGCATATACCCTTATCTTTGCGCATCTACGCGCAACTTGCGCACCTACAAGCAACTTGCGAATCTACGCTCATCTACGCGCATCCACGTGCATCTAAGCGCATCTACCTGAATCTACACGCATCTACGCACATCTACGCGCATCTACGCACATCTACGCGCATCTACGCGCATCTACGCGCATCTACGCGCATCTACGCGCATCTACGCGCATCTACGTACATCTATGCACATCTAAGCGCATCTAAGCGCATCTACGTGCATCTACGCGCATTTAAGTGCATCTACACGCATCTACGTTCATCTACGCGCATCTAAGTACATCTTCGCGAATCTAAGCGCATCTTTATTGTGATGATTTGGAGCTGGACTTTATAAAATTTCTTTCCCCTCAACTACGCCTTTGAATGCCCTGTAATATAATACCATTCCCTCCCTATGTTTTGCCCTGCAGACGCTTAGCATGAGTGAGTTCCCTTGTGTTATCGCATTCCTGTCACAGTTCGCTCACCCTCAGTGCTGCAATTTTTATGTCAACCCATCCCACCGAAAAACCTTGAGGAAATTAATACCGTCACCCCCCTCATTTCTGCCCTGGAGACAACAAAGAGGAGAAGGCGCCCCTTTGTTGTTATTGCATTTCTTAACCAGATTGCTCACGCGAAAGCGTGAATTTGGATTTTCACATCACCCCGAAAAACCTTGAGGGTAGGAGGTCAAACCCGCAACATCGAAAGTAATTGTCATTGGATGAAAAACATAGAACATTTGAATCACCCAATTGAATCATCACCTAATCGCCACCCAACTCGAATAAATAGTCTGAACAAGCAACATTCTGTCTTTTATGATCATGCTCACTTGACTGTGAACACCTGAAGGAAGGGACTTAGAACTTATCCAGCGTGATTCATAACTGCAACCTAGGACTTAGCAAGTATACGACTTTTAAGATCTGATCAATCGATTGTGAACGCTTGAAGTAGCCTAACTTAGTACTTCACTAGCGAGATACTTAACTGCGACTGCTACCTAGAGTACTAGTAAGTAGGCAACCATGATTTTGGTATCATTTTATTGCCCATGTATTTATATTATTCGTTCGTGTTTGATCTTATCCTAATAATGCCTATATTCATTTATATTGATGTTATGAATTCTATTATTGATTTTGTCACGTGCTACGGCCCGCCGCCATTCCATCATTGGAATTGCAGGTGTTGCTCTAAAGTGCACATGTCTCTTTTAAAAGGAAGACAATACGAATATCATGTACCTATAATTTTAATGATTGTTAATGCTACCATGTCCCATACTATGTTAATTGAATTGTTTGCTTAGTCTAACATTGTCACGAAGCAAGATCTGCATACGCCGACAATGATCAGACTTATAATCCTATCCACCATTTGGATGTATATGCACGAGCTATGTCACCTTCCATACATCGATCTGAATTCGTTGCTATTGGAACGGGACTTATCAGCGTATGGCTATTCGCTTGGATACTTATCCAATTTTGTATCTTTTGCCTTTAGCCTGGTTTCTATTGCTGGACTGACTTACCTTGAGTTGACGCTAGGGGATTGATCTACATCCTACTCCAAACTACCTGTCAGCCACCAAAAGGACTTCGAGTTCCAGTCACTCTCACTACCACGATTCATCGTGGGAGAGTCATTTTCCCCATCGCAGACATTCCACGGAATCTACGACCGGGAACTCCGACTTCGCTATGCCTAGAACAGCTACGAAGGCCGGAACAGGGACACACTTCTAGAACTGAAGGACTTCCCTTACTATGATCCACCGAGATCATCACTAGGACTATAAAGGATAAGTCCACCAAGATTGAGCATAAAACTTGAGCAACATTTAGCATTTTTATGATTATACCGCTTGTATGTTAGGGACACTTGCTTGCAGTAATATACATTTCTAATTGGGATAAAATCCTTTTCATGATTATATGTCAAGCACCAGGAGTGTGTAAAGGAGGATTTTGTAAATATTGTTATCCATTAAATACTCATGGTTATTTATCCTTTACCTGAGACTTCGTTTCGGTCTATACTATATGTAAATAGATAGGTGTTATGTCTGTGTGGTAGTTTGGCTCACATAACGTACCCCTAGACAGAGAGCAAAGAGATCTCATACGAGAGATACTCCTCACTAATGTATTAAAAGTCAAATCACCACACGGGTGTAAATGGGGGCCTGTCCGGGATGTTTCGAGCAAATGTTAGTTTAGAATATATTATAGATAGACCGAGTAATTTCACTTTAGCGACTTTGGAAATTTTTAAAAATTTTAAGTCGTAAAAATATCATAAAGAAGTAAGAATCTATATTTGCTCTGCTCAAGGTTTATGTTCCTTCTACTTAAGTTATTAAATTCATGTAATACTTGTTGATGTTCATGTGATAGTTTTATAATTAATTTGGTGATTTCAAAATCATCGGTTCGTACTGCTGGTGTTCTAGGTTCCAAGTGGTAAGTACTATCATACACCAACTATGCCGGAATATGTGCAGAGTGAAGCTGAAATTAGAAAGGACGGAGAATCGTATGGAATTACGAGAGAAGACCTCGACCAATACGTCATAGAACGATTGGACCGAGAGAGAAGAAGAGCACAGGCCAGATTAAAACATGAAGCATGGATGAAGGAGATGGACGAAAAATATGAAGCATGGATGAAGGAGAGGGACGACAGAGAAAAAGCGAGGAAAGAGGAGGCCGCTGAAAGACAGAAACAGGCAGATAGAGAGGCCGCTGAGAGAAAGGAACAGGCAGATAGAGAGGCCGCTGAGAGAAAGGAACAGGCAGAGCAGGAGGAAAGGAAAGAAAAAGCTGATAGGGAACATGCCATCAGAATGGAGGAGATGAGAATGAAAAGGATGTTTGAAATAGAACAACTGAGGGAAGAAAGAAGACTTCAGGAGTTAGAGAAAGCCAAACTGGCTCAGAAACGACCGGAAACTGAAGCCCAAACTCCAGACACCGGCAGCCTGCTTAGTGCTATGTTATACTGTGCTACAGATGGAATCATCCACTGTTGGTCACTGGAATTTCCCTTTCATCCGTATGAAGATAAGTGGGGGACCATTGAACAGTACTTCTACAAGTTTGAATTTATCGCCCATCTTTACGGGCCACCAGAAGATAAATGGAACATCCGATTAGCACTCGCGCTTGTCGGAGATGATTATGAAGCATATAGCAATAGGTGTGCCTACGATATCCAAAGCTATCCCGACCTCAACGCTGCGTTGTTAAAGAGGTATAAACCAACAACGTCAAGGTATAACAGAAGGCTCCGCAGTTCACAACTGGAAAAAGAGGAAATAGTAAAACTCTGTTGTAAACAAATTCCACCAGCCAGGAATGATACAGACAATCGCAAAGCCGCTCCCCATAAGAATGGTAAAGAATATTACAAGTATAGGCACGAACCAGCCAAGAACAAGTCTCTATCTGAATCTAGATTTGATCCTATTTGAACTAAACGAAGAGCACACTTTGAATCAGCAACCAGCAACATATCTAAGAAAAAGCATACGCTTGATGTAGAACCGACTGCTAGTCCCAAGCAGTCCGGTCTCTTTAGTCCAACGCCCCGTCTTAAACAACACAAATAACAAGTAAGTCGCCAATACGCTAATCAGAAGACAATGGCAGAACCATATGATAATGATAAACCTGACGCCAATGACAAGCCTAACATTGACGCAGGATATGAGACTACTCCGCCTAAGCCTTGTGTTGTCTTAGAGACCACAATCAGTAACGAACAACCAAACCAGGTAGTAAGCATTTTACCTCATACTCAAGAGTGTGATGATAAAATTCGACAGCCACCGGTACAGACCACCGCTGTCCCAGTCTGTTTAAATCGTCCGTGCTTGACCGCCACGATACAGACCCAACTTTCTAATGAAGCTCAGGAGGATCAACCAGTCCCGCCACTCGTAGAAAGTAAAGCAGTCAACGGCACCTTTGACCGTTGTCTCATTGACTCCAGACGCTCGCACGATAATAACTTACGACGATCTGTTGTCAAACCGGCTGATGTAACATGCGACTCAATCGCTGTTAAATGTGCTAACCAAGAAGCTCAACCGATGACCTTGCCCATTGCTCGGATTAAAGATAAGGAATCCCCCGATGCGCAAGGGATAATCACCGCAGCTGTCATGGACTCGCCGACCCATGATATAATATCTGGTAGCCACTATGTAGATGTGGATAATCCCACTGATCCTGTTATTGTCACCTCCGCTGGGACAATAATTATGACTCCGCCAGGAACCCTTAAAGAAACGCCAAACCCTGTACTGCAGGAAACGAAAGCCGCCTCACGAATCGAGCCGACACTTTCAAGAACACCTACTCTAGTGGAGAGAGTCGACACGCCAGTTGGAAAGCTGAATGATTTCCTCAAATCTGGATCGCTCTGTCACCGTACAAAAGGTGAAGAGAACAAAAGCCAGTTAATTGCCCCTAAGCTTTTGCAAGAAGAAATGACGCAGATAGAACAAGCTGCAACGTTAAGTGGACACCTGGGTAATGGTGTATCTCTTAATCGCATTGGTTGTTATAGATTTCGGTCAGGAATAAGAGAGAAAATAAAGCAATTTGTCTTACGTCGCCCGCAGTGCCAGCAGATGATTCCCAGGAAAACCGTACCACGGATACCCCTCGGGAAAGCATTGAAAGATAATCAAGTACTGTACACTCCATACACTGGATCTCAAGTGTGTCACCCTGATGCTAATGGACTCGCCAAGCGAAATGACTCATCGCTTGTATCCATGCTCAGACGCAGTAAATATGGACGACCAGAGGAATGGGACGCCCACCCGCCAGCAGAAATTTACGCTTATCGTATGAAGTTTGCTTCCACCTCAATTGATTTATGGATCATATCCAAAGAAGAAGATGAAGAGAAACATAGAAGATGGAGACCAGGGAGTAAAACTAAAAATACCTCTACGTTACTTGACAGAATCAAAATATCAGAAGGAATAAGACTGCCCAATGAAGTTAGAGAGCCCTATGAAGAGGCTATAGATGAAGCCAGTTCCCAGAAGTTAATGTTAAGGTTTAAGAAGCGTGTTTTCAGGAAACAAAAGATAACCAATTTGACTGACTTATCAGAACAGTTCATTGAGTCCGGATTAGACTCACAAGAGATTGAGAAGCAGGTCTTGGCAACTAATCAAGAAGATCGCCAAATTCTAGTTAAACAAAATTGCATTCAGTCAAACTTGCATTTGGTTTCCCAAGACAACACAGATAATTCATTTGCTACGAATGACTTGTTGCAAGAAATCACAGATCATATTAATCAAGATAAAAATGAGGACACAAAACTAGTCTCAGTTGATACAACTCCTAGTGATCAAGTAATTGCTGCTCTTGCCAAGGACCTGGAATGTTTACAACCAGTTGTAAAAGAAGAATTTGAAGAAGTTCTGAAGAACTTATCCATCACGGTAGATATGTCTAACATCAACCTTGAATTATGTACAGATGCTGCCCACCCAGTATTGCCGCAGTTGTGGTTGAAAGGACCACGCCTGAAAAGACAATTACATGAAAATAGATTGTATAGCAGAAGAATTCAAGCTGTATCGCTAAACTCGGAAGAAAACTGTCGTCAGTTCCGAGAACTTGATGTCATTGATATTTGGTTACAGAACCTCGCAAACCGTAACAAACATGACAAAGAGATTAAAGATGAAGTGGAGCTCAGGGAGAGCCCTTCAACTTCAATGCCACGGGTTTGCGACTAGAAGTCCCCGCAAACAGATTTAGATTTCTCAGAGGAGAGCATACAGCTGAGGAACATGTTACAGCTGACAAACTTTAGTTCAAGATAGAGAAAATTGCCCCACCTCAGTGACACTGATGTGTTGTACCCCTCTGTGGCGGGCAGAGAAACTCTACAGCCAGAAATTTAGAGGAATTAGAAACTCTACTGCAGGAAATTTAGAGGAATCAGAATATCTACAGTCAGAAATTTAAAGGAATTTTGGAACTCTGCAGTATTTTCCTTAGTTAAGGAAAGTAGCAAAACAGAATTAACCTCAACTGATGAGCTTGAAGAAAACCCTTGTATATAAATATTTCAATGATGAAAACCTAATAATGTACCACAAGTAAGGTACCGCTATTGACACATGTTGAAGATCCTAAATAATAATTGACTTGTTTATATTCAAGTATGTATATAAAACCTCACAATGGGATAAAATGTGAGCGATAGAAAAATGAAATACAAAGAAGGCGTGACCGTTTATATGAAGACATGGAAGATGATTTTCCTGAGATGTTTGCACTCAGGACGTATTAGTAAATTCAAAAATATTTTATGTCAATCAAGTACCTCCCAGGAAAGATAAATTTAACCCATACTTCACAAGTCGTCAATCATCTTCAGACGCCGAAGATAACTCTTGACAAAATTTAAATGCTCACGCTCCAGGATTTGCTACTTCAGAAACGACTAAGCCTAGGAGGATTTCAGGCAACAGAAGAAATTTAAAAAGGCCAGCACTTCAATGTTTCATTCTAGGAATGAATCATCTTAGGAAGGGCGTATGTGATGATTTGGAGCTGGACTTTATAAAATTTCTTTCCCCTCAAATATGCCTTTGAATTCCCATAATACCATTCCCTCCCTATGTTTTGCCCTGCAGACGCTTAGCACGAGTGAGTTCCCTTGTGTTATCGCATTCCTGTCACAGTTCGCTCACCTTCAGAGCGTGCAATTTTGCGGTCAACCCATCCCACCGAAAAACCTTGAGGAAATTAATACCGTCAACCCCCTCATTTCTGCCCTGGAGACAACAAAGAGGAGAAGGCGCCTCTTTGTTGTTATTGCATTTCTTAACCAGATTGCTCACGCGAAAGCGTGAATTTGGATTTTCACCTCCCCCGAAAAACCTTGAGGGTAGGAGGTCAAACCCGCAACATCGAAAGTAATTGTCATTGGATGGAAAAACATAGAACATTTGAATCACCCAATTGAATCATCACCTAATCGCCACCCAACTCGAATAAATAGTCTGAATAAGCAACATTCTGTCTTTTATGATCATGCTCACTTGACTGTGAATACCTGAAGGAAGGGACTTAGAACTTATCCAGCGTGATTCATAACTGCAACCTAGGACTTAGCAAGTATACGTCTTTTAAGATCTGATCACTCGATTGGGAACGCTTGAAGTAGCTGGACTTAGTACTTCACTAGAGAGATACTTAACTGCGACTGCTACCTAGAGTACTAGTAAGTACGCAACCATGATTTTGGTATCATTTTATTGCCCATGTATTTATATTATTCGTTCGTGTTTGATCTTATCCTAATAATGCCTATATTCATTTATATTGATGTTATGAATTCTATTATTCATTTTGCCACGTGCTACGACCCGCCGCCATTCCATCATGGGAATGGCAGGTGTTGCTCTAAAGTGCACATGTCTCTTTTAAAAGGAAGACAATACGAATATCATGTACCTATAATTTTAATGATTGTTAATGCTACCATGTCCCATACTATGTTAATTGAATTGTTTGCTTAGTCTAACATTGTCACGAAGCAAGATCTGCTTACGCTGACAATGATCAGACTTATAATCCCATCCACCATTTGGATGTATATGCACGAGCTATGTCACCTTCCATACATCGATCTGAATTCGTTGCTATTGGAACGGTACTTATCAGCTTATGGCTATTCGCTTGGATATTTATCCAATTTTGTATCTTTTGCCTTTAGCCTGGTTTCTATTGCTAGACCAACTTACCTTGAGTTGACGCTAGGGGATTGATCTACATCCTACTCCAAACTACCTGTCAGCCACCAAAAGGACTTCGAGTTCCAGTCACTCTCACTACCACGATTCATCGCGGGAGAGTCATTTTCCCCATCGCTGACATTCCACGGAATCTACGACCGGGAACTCCGACTTCGCTACGCCTAGAACAGCTACGAAGGCCGGAACAGGGACACACTTCTAGAACTGAAGGACTTCCCTTACTGTGATCCACCGAGATCATCACTAGGACTATACAGGATAAGTCCACCAAGATTGAGGATAGAACTTGAGCAAAATTTAGCATTTTTATGATTATACCGCTTGTATGTTAGGGACACTTGCTTGCAGTATTATACATTTCTAATTGGGATAAAATCCTTTTGATGATTATATGTCAAGCACTAGGAGTGTGTAAAGGAGGATTTTGTAAATATTGTTATCCATTAAATACTCATGGTTACTTATCCTTTACCTGAGACTTCGTTTCGGTCTCTACTATTGGTAAATAGATAGGTGTTATGTCTGTGTGGTAGTTTGGCTCACAT